ATTTATTTATTTATTTATTTCATTTATACCCCGCCTATCTAGTCAATTGTGTCAAATGTTTGTTGGAAGTGTGAAGCACAAGAGGGAAGTTTTTACCATATGTGGTGGACTTGTACAGTAGCGAAACAGTATTGGATAGCAGTACATACTCTGTTACAAAAAATACTGGATGACAGTACATTTTGTGTTCTTCTTCTCCCTCTTTTCCCCCCATAACCCCCTCTACCTTTTGTACTCCTTACCTTATCCCTAGTTTTTTAAAAAATAAAAAATAAAATAAAAAAGGACTGCTCAGATTCCTATACTCTAATCCAGAGTTGAAAATTATGGTATGTGGTATGGTGGTATACTTGATTCTAGAAAATGAACTGCCATTTTATCCCTTGATATTAGAACCTGCATAGAAAGCCATTACTGGAGATTTCCATTTCATTCTTCTCTGCTTCTACATACTACCGAAATCCACTAAAGTAGTTTCAGTACTGTGTATTTCCTTAAAACAGCTGGAACAATAAAGCATCGTATGATTCCCTGCAGATTGCTCCAGACAAATGGTTCGTCAGAAGGAGTTGCGTCATGGTTTGAAAATCAGCATACACAGGGGCTTTGTGTGAAGATGCTCAAGGAGAACATCAAGTTCATATACCTATAATCACAATGGGTTAAAATCTAGCCATAGTTAGGTGTCTGTTAACTCTTCTTAATTTCATTGGGAGAGACTTATGCGCATGCTGAACTCTGCCATTATAACCAGAAGGCCTCAAAAGTGCATCACTTTGACTGGATTGTGCCTAACCTGGGTTAATGGCAAAAGCAGCTACAATTTTAAACCTACCTCTGTAATGGCACATTTGGTAAACGAGAACGGGTCCTGCGCTGATCATCACCACGGTGAGGAGATACAGATCGGGAACGATGATGGGTTGTTCTTTGCTGTTCTGGCACAGTTAACGTTGTAGATTTACTTTCTCTAGTGCTAGACCTATAGCCTACTGGTAAAAGGGCAACAAAATGGAATTAGTTCAGATCAGAGGTGGCAACGAGTTTTTGTGTCTGGACTAGTCTCTTCTGACTAAGTCATGTTTCACTGACTACAGGATTTTCAGGCAGTTATTATAACTAGTGAAAATCCCCAAACATCATGCAGCCAGGACTAACAAATAGCATTACAGTATATTGAAATGTACATGGGGTGGGGGGGAGGTACAAACATACATACAAGAAGTTTACGTGCAGACTGAAAAAAATTCCCAAGGGTGAAAAAGTGAGTAAGAGCAGATATAATACCTAAAGGGTTAGATATTATTTGCCACAAGGGTCACTTTTTCAATTCTTCAGTGTTTTTAAAGGAAACTGCATGTTTGGCTACAACAACGAACTCATGCTGTTGGTAAAAATTTCTGCAATTTATGGAATTGCTTAGAAGTACATTGTTTTAGGATTGAAGCCCACGTTGCAGTTTCACTTAAATTACCTGCTGACATGAGTATGGTATAGAAGTCATTTGACCCAATATTGTTCATGTAAAGCCACCTACAGAACTTTCTTTGTCTCAAACATGATTTACTCTTGTTCGCTTTAGCCTTAGTATCAAAGACAAAACTGGAAAGGCAGAAAGAAACATGTCTGTGAGAAAGCTACTCAAATGTCACTGAGGCAGCAAATCTGTTTTAGTGACCTAAACGCTGAAGGCAAGCACATGGATAAGACTTTCCATTTCAACAGCAAAACCCACTTGTTACTTATTGCTGGATACATATTCAACATTCTGTCCTTCCACAGGAAGAACTACATGTGCACAAATGTAAGGATAAGCTGTCATTCTTTTCCACAAGGAGGTGCACAACATCGACTCCACAGTCAATTCTTCCAACAAATTTTTTTTATAAAGGGTCATACAAATCGAATGGACTTCAAGGACAACCACCTTTGAACTCCCCCAGATCAGGTCAAAACATGGTGGGCAAGTAAGCAACAAAACCTTTCAAATCACCCCTTTTCATCAGAGGATGATAGATTGTACATCTCTGAAAAATTTAGAGATTGTAGGTGGGAAGAAGGAAGTGCATAAGATATAACAAAAAAGTTCATAAACACTCAAAGCAAACTGCATGCACTTCTCTTAAATGTTGCAGGGATGCTTTGTAGAATGAAAAATATGTGGTGTCATGTGCAGAAAACTTTCTTAGAATGCTGGACAAGGGAAAATCAATCTACATTTAAATTGAGGTTAACCTGTATTCTTGTCATATAGATGAGCAAGGAGTCACCGACATACATTATACAGAAGAACAGAAAATGGAAACTATACATTGCTTTCATTAAAACAATTCATGTTGCATTTGACAGAAAGTATAAAGGCAGTTGGGATTAAAATCTTAGGGATACTGGGAGAAAATGTTTGGGTTACTTGTCAGTAAAATGCACAATGCAATCAGGTTCCTTTGCTAGAATAAATAGGCTAATTTAGACAGATGCGCTCAAGTATGAGTTGGGAAAATGGAATGAGTTTATGCCATCTTCCATAAGCTTCCAATTTAGAAAACTTTACTTTCTTCTTCAGTGTGTCTAGAAGCTCATTTAAGTAATGTATAAGTGAATTCATAACAGGAGGTGAACTAGACCATGTTAGACTGAGTACATTCACAGTGGTATGTAAAGGTACACTAGCTAAGATCAGACTGGCTATAACATTAGTCTCCCAAAGAATACAGCTGAAGAAGAAAAGAGAAAGTTAGTGGAAGTCTGTTGAACCAAGACATTTTTCTATGTCATGTGGGTTTTTCTACTAGGACAGTACAAATGTTGACAGCACCTCCAGCAGCATTTCACAAGGAATACAGACTTCATCTTCAATGTAGTAACAAGGAATCTCCCTCTGTGTGCACATTTGGGATAACAACAACTTAGGGATGCTTGTGAGAATTATAAAAGAGACAGTCATGCTTCATGCATATAACATATAGCCATGCATTTTCAATATATTCCATGGTGAGCCTGTCTAGACAAAAAGCAAGTAAATATCATGGACAGATATGTCAGAATGACATCTGAATTAACATTATTACTCTTTTGCACTTCTCTCATACATACCATAACAATTTCAAAAAGCAGCTATGACCCATGAAATATTCAAATGTATGCACGAGTGGATGTTTTCCTTGTGTAAATAGATACATCAACATTGAAATGACATTGCTGCTGTTTGCTACTGTTGGCTGCTTGATTCATATCTGTTGAACATGACGGCTGATTAAATAATTGTAAACTACATTGAACACTGTAAATATGTAAAAATGGAAAAGCAGGATAAAAATGGTTTCTCATCAAGAAATACAGTTTAGTGCAAATTTTTATTAAAGGGTCACCATGGAATAATGACTTAAACTACGTTCTAGGAAACAGCATCTCCCAATTCATCATCTTTCCAAAATCTTAAAAAAAAATCAGACTGGAAAGGGGAGTAGGGAGTAACCAAAAGCAAAAGATGGAGGACCATGCTCTTCACCCACGCACCTGAAGGAACTACTCCAATACCATCATCAACATCATAATCTGAGATGTCACTATCACTGATTCGCTGAGATCCTGTGCAATAGTAAGGCAAATAGATACCTGTGTACTTCGTTCTTTTGTAAAGGGTTAAAATAAGTTAAAGTAAAAATGCCAGTCATTCTGGAGATTCAAATATGGGATGCATTCAAAGGCAAATACAGGACTTAATAATGGTAATAGAAAAGAACTGTGAAGTGGCTCAGGGTGACATATTTTAATTTCAGGGAATGTCAGCAATACAAAAAAAAAACCACTCAAAGCAAGTTCTATTGACAGGTCGTCCCTATAGGCTGATAACATCTACAACAATGCGAACAGCAACTCACACAACTAGGTAATACGAATGACTTGAGGACAGAGTTTTATTGCTCTTAGTTTTCTAGGGTACCATTTTTAAAGTCTAAAAAAATACACAGGAACTACCCCAAGACTCTCCCCCAGTGGTTAGAATATTGCAGAAGAAGCTGTTATTGCTCCCACCACCAATTTTCCCCACATAGAAACACACATTTTGTTCACCCCTCTGTTAGAAGTGGGGGGAGTCCCTTTTCTACCACATCATGGGAAGGCTGCTTGGTATTTTCACGCTAGTGACAGGATGCTAATTCTTAGCTCTGTAAGTATCTGTGCTTCCATACTTGTCCATAAAACTGACATGTTAGTGTGACTGAGTTCATACATGCACACATACTGTATACCTGAGTCAATCTTGCTTCACCACTATACACCAGATAGTTAGCAACTGAACATGTGAACTGGAAAGTTTTCTGATTGTGAGAGTCTGATACGAAATGCCAGTTCAACCTAAAATCTTAGATAGCTGATACTGAGTTCAAGTTATTCCCAAATTCTGCTACATGCTTTGCAGCTGGTAAACTTGGCTGGGCTGGGCAATTTTGACACCTTTCACAGAACAAAATAATTGGTGATATATGTGATTTTATTTCGAAAGACAAATCAAATTTTTCAGAAGACAAATCAAATCAGCGTCATTCTGGTGTTATGGGAATGAAAGCCAGCAGCGACGTTATGGTTCAGGAGGCTGGGTTCTTTTACTGAGATGTCAGCTAAAATAAAAATAGAAAGCACTGCCCTAATGATAAACTTTAGAATAATGCCAATCAATGTAAGGGACAGACCCTGTTATCTTTCTAGGAGACCACTAGGTGAAACAATAATGGCTAGTATCCACTAGGGCCAGTGCAATGAAGTATTTCACTCCCTGAGCTTGTGTGATCAACTATGCTAAAGCAGAGTCCCTTTTCTGTCACTTGCATGCCCTCCACAAGGTCCCTATGGATAGAAAAAATCCCAGCCTAGCATTGTCTATAGTCACAATTTAATGCCTGAAATCAGGCAGTTCTGCGCAACAAAAAATTGTGTTTAAAGTTCAGGCTGATGTTTTTTCTTCTCCTATGAAGTAACGTATGTTCAGTCCCAAAACAGTAAAGTTTCTTGAAGTGATTAGAAAGCCAGAGCATGCAGGACTATTTGTTAGATGTAAATATTTTGTGTAAAAGTCTTCCAGTGGTGTTTACAGGACAATGCTGACTAAACTGAGAATGACTGCTTTAGAATAAATCATTGTGAAGACTGAATCCATAGATTCTTATCAGCAATCAAGCCAACATAAATTAAATGAGTAAATAAATACTGATATTGAAATCATAAAATCACTAATTATATGTCAAATACAGCTATTCCCCAAGTACTGCATCTTCTTTTATTTGTGTAAATCTTTCAAAAGCACACTTCTGAAAGATCGTGGTTGAGAAAATGCTTGCTTATATATTTCTTACATCATAATAACCAGTCAAAACGTTCTAGCAAGAAAGAATGGGAATTTTGGACTTACTTTGCAATTTTTTGCTAGAGTTTTCTCCACCATGGACATGTCTTCTTGGCATGAAAGGTGATGGCTGAGGCAGAGGTAGTGAGGATTCATCATGCGTCTGCAGCTTATACCAATGGGGTTCGTCATCTAACAGTGCTGTCTCCAGCTCAATAAGGATCTAAGGGAAGACCCAGCAAGCTTGTTCTTAGTTTGGTCAAAAGAAACGTTCTGAGATGTTATTGTATGTCTGAAATACTGCTACTTTACAGTGCCAAACAGATGCATTCACCTCTCCAAGAAAGTCACTTTCCTCTTCTTGTACTCGTGGTTGGTCCCACACCGTGATTTCTAACATCCGTTCTCTAAAATCTCTACGGTGCACGTGTGAGTAGAGAAAAGTTTGGTTCCATTTTGGTTCTAAGCTTTTCTTTACTGTTTTGGTCCTTCTTTTACTCTTATCACTGAAATATAAAACATAACTGTAAAACATCGTGTAACCAGCAGGCCACATCCACTGTAAGCTTCTGGATAAAATCCTAAAATAGGGTTCTTGACATTGAAGGCTGAGCTCTAGGTTTGCAAGCTCCTCCGGTGACATTCAGTTTTTAAAGGTAGCAGAAGTGCCACTGCTGATTTTTGCCAACCAGGCCCAGAGCACCGATGACCAGGGATGTTGCTAAGTCTTTGGACCTGAGTCCCAAGTCCAAGTCTTTGGTAATAAGACTCAAGTCCCAAGTCTTTGGTCCCTATTTCTAGGTCTTGAGTCTGAGTCTTCGACAGAGATCGGACATGTGCATGCGCAGAAGCAGCAGTTCTGGCTTCCCTTCCCGGAGCAGGCCCTTGCCCATGAGCATGCTCAGAAGCAGTGCACCTGGCCTCTGCCCCCCACTACCTACCTACTCCTGCCATTGCCATGCCACTGTCTCCTCACTGACATCACTGCCACCCCCATTGTCTACCTGCCACTTCCACGCCCCCCAAACCCCACTGCCACCTCCACTGCCTGCCTGCTCCGGCTGCCACCACACACCACTGTCCTCAGAAGAAAGCAGTACGCTCAGCTTCCCTTCCAGGAGCAAGGCCTGCAGTTTTGGGGCATGCTGAGAACTCTGGGCATGCCCAGAAGCAGGCGTCAAGCGTCCCACATCTGGATATGCTCAGAAATCTGGGCATGCCCAGAAGAGGTGGGCCTGGCTCCGGGAAGATAAACCAAGCCTGCTGCTAATTTCTGAGGACAGCAGTGTGCAACAGGGGCAGGACCAGGTTGGCAGTGGCGGTGGCAGTGGCATGGGGGACTTGATAAGCAGCTCAGAAAAATGGTTCTGAGTCACAAGTTGACTGCGAGTCCTTCGAGAAAGACCCGAAATCGAGTCTAAGTCAAATCGCTGGTGTGACTTAAGTGCGACTCGACTGTGAGTCTCAAATTGGAAGCCCTCATCCCTGCTGATAACCGTTTGAGAGATGCTCTGGATGAGGCACATGTGTTGTCCAAGAGTTAGACTAGACTGCTGTAGGGAGGCCCACCGCTAGGCCAGTGCAGGGACTGACTGACTGACAGGCAGGCAGACAAATGAATGCAACCATTTTGAAAACGGTCACCATCCAGAAATCTATTTACTGAATGTGTTGTCTATACCACAAAGTAGGGGTTGAGTGTTTGGTACAAATTTTATATAGTGGTCAGAATCCTGCAACTGATTTACATGTGCCTACCTTAAACTGCATAACTCACTGTTAACCAATAAAGCACTTCATGATGTGTGTGTCCAAATGCAAAACAGGTGTGTGGCCATTAATACAACCAGAACCTTGTTAATTAATTAGAGCAATATGCTGTGATGAGTTAACACAATTTAACTTACACATGTGTAAATCACTGACAGGAAGCTTGCCACAATTAGAAAAGAATGGCCAAGGGATACGGGAAGTATTTGGCAGGGGGCAGAAGAATGGAAAAGCAAATTACACCCATAAGGAGGAGGGAAGGAAGATGTATCAAAGTGATTTACCATTTTTAGATCAGAATGTATTTCTGTACTGTGCGAGAGTTTGGATTCTGACAGTTAAGTAAAAGCTGAGCACTCATCCTGATTAAGGGTGAAACTACACAGCAAGGGAGAGGTGAATTCACTCACATCCACTCAGGTCTGTTGGATTTAAGTGGCCATACAGGGAGGCAGGAGAAAAGCTTTGCTTGCTGCTTGTTTGCAGCTCTATCGAAACCTTGTAGGAGGCAAACTTAAATAGAACTGCCTAACAAGTTGCAACAACTGGTGCGGAGTCTTTTCTGCATCTGTTCAAGTGAGCACATGCCTTAAGCAATGTAAATTGACCTGGTGTATTTTTTTAAAGGAAAATCCCCAGCAGTGGAGGGGAAAACTACACATCTGGGAGATGGACTCTGAGATAATTCACATTTTCCCTTACATCATGTGATCAACAGAACCACATGTGAATCAGCCTATTCCGGAATCCACAGCATTTCTCACATTTTCCCCTGTGTAGTCTCTAAAAAAGATATGGTCCTTTGGCCTCTGCTGAGAAAAACCACAAGAAAATAAATTGTCCTGAATATATGGCCATTCATGTTAAAATATTATGAAGCAAAGAAACATTTAACAAGATATTTTTCAAATTTGTTCCTTCCTTATAACACATTTTTCACTGGAAGTACTACCTTCTGTCTGGAAGGAAATACATTTTCACATAAGGATTCCTTGGTCGTCCATCTGCTCTAGGTGGCAAATCTGTTGCTTGAAGAACATTCACTATTAACTGGTGCCCCACTTTATCATACCATAGTTTAATCTAAAGTAGAATAAAAAATAAATTATCCATAAAAATGTATTTCATTGCTGCTTGAAATAGAGAGTTAATGTTACAAGCCCAAATTCCTCATGATATAAAAGGGCTAATTTTTTTAAAAAAAACCTCTTGCTCTCTTATTCAGATATTAGTTCTTGTTTTCATCCATTTTCCTCTCTCTTTCTGAATCCAAAATCTTCCCCGATACACATGATTAAAATGAATAGCAATTAAGAAATAGAGCATTAAAAACCAAACAAGTGCTGCTTATTTCTTCATTAGGTTATTTCAATCTCAGTTGCACAAGCCAATTCACTTATATTCACGTTTTCACTGTTGGCTAGTTAGAAACACAGATCTATGTCTATTAAAGAGTGAAACACTATAGCAAGATCCTTATATTTCCTAAATGAAACAGTTAAATGCAAATACACATCTGAACAAGAATGCATGTCTGGGAACAGATAAAATATATTTCCTGGTGAACCTAAATTTCCACTCACAGAAAGCTGCCCAGGCAGAACTTGTGGTGCATCTTTTAGGGCTCCAGGACTAGTAGGGGATATGACAGAGATGGATGGCCTTTCCATTTTTTGAGATTCAAATGAGCTAGAACCTACAAAGAGGGAGATATAACATACAATTTAAAATGAATGTGTAGGAAATGTTTCTAGAACTGCTACTACAATTGCATTGAACTCCACAGTGCCCACCAAACCAAGCAGTTGCTCAAAGATAGCAACCAGTGGTTGGCCCTCAACATTAGGAAGGAAATCCTGCTCAAAAAATGTATGAGGTGAGGATGGAAAAAGCGTCTTAGCTAAAACAATAATAACAATAATAATGATAAGAAAAGAAAAATAGTACCTGCCCCTTTTAGCCCATTTTCCATAGCTGCAGAAATTTAAAAAAAATATAATAAATACATCATGGTAGGAGTGGAAATAATAGAAGGGGAAAGGCAGGAAAGGGAGGGAAAAAGTGAAAACATTTGAAAATACAATTGAATGTTAAGAATTTCAATGAAACATTTACTTTTGAATGGAGATAGAAGAAACCAATAACCCAGCTGGACAAAGAATAATGAAACTCCAGTTCTCCTCAAGTATGGCTTTTAAACACCAATCTAATACACATCTGCTCCAGATGTGGGGAAGGTAAATCTGACTACTCTGGAGACATTCTTGTCATGGTGAGAAAGCCATGGTACAGCATATTCCCAACTGACCATATAAGTGGGCAAACTGGCCATTAACTCCAGGAAATGAGCTGATGGAGGGGGGGAGAGAGGTAAGCAGAGCTCCTCCTGATGGTATTTGTTTACAGTAAGCTAGGCTGAAACAGCAACAACTTTAATCAGTACAGGTTGTTTGGGTAGTAACTACAAGCACTACAAGTATTTCGAAGCTGAATATTATTTCTGGGATGCTGAAGGGGCTCTTCAGCCAGGTCACTCTTTATCCAAAGATTGCATCCGGATCTATTTCAGAGACAAAAGGAACTTGGGTTGCACTAGATCCAAAGGTGGAAAATCTGGTATAAGCCATATCCTCTTTTTGGTGGTGGTGGGAGCTTTTTTTGTTCTATACATTACATAAGTACACCCATTGGTACATGCAAAAGCCTAGCTGTTAATGGATGTTCAGTGGGCTGAACTTTCTGATAAAAAAATAGTTCTAGGCAAAAAGACTGTATATTGCTGAAGCAAACCTTAAGAATAAATATTTTTTGAACATACCATAGAAACAAAGTGGATACTTACTAGATTCTAGTGGAGGATGAGAAGTTTCAGGAATCCTTGGAATGTCACTAGAATATACATACACAGGAAAAAATTAGAAATATCTGAACTGCTCCTCCATGAGACACACACATTAACTAGTTCATGAATTACATAGTGATGAAGAACACTCAAATTTTCACTCATGTCTCTGAAAAATTCCAGACTTCAACACATCACATCTAGACACAACAAATGCTTTCACTTTAATGCATTTTTCAAGTAAGATTTAATAGCAGGGGGAAAATCCACCACACCTATGAGGCATAGTACTACTACAATTTTATTTTTGACAGTGACGTTGATATAGAACACTGTCATGTTAATATTGTGGCTGGACATTCCACAATATCTTAAAATCACACAACAGAAAAGAACACATTGAAGAGGAGATGGATTTGAGCTACTGATTCTAGTTTTGCTTCATTTTTCTTTCTCAAACAGTACAAACTGCATAACTCACTAGACGCTTCTATGTACACGTCTGAAGGAGCTTGTTGAACGAAACCTATGAAAAAGTCTTACAAGAACAAAGAGGGGGAAAAAGGAAATGTAGAAAAAAAATAATGAAAAACGTAAAATAATACACAATGCTATAATATACATGGACACTGACATACTCCTAACTAACATGTACTATGAATATATTGTAAACATTTTACCATGAAATCAGGCAAACATATTTCCCACTAGTGGGAAGGGGAGGATGAATTTAAATATGTGGCCATGTGAAAAAGAAAGTAAACCCTCTTTGAATTCTATATTTTATATGTCAGGGCATAACAATATCTTTGAATTCTATAGTTTTATATATCAGGGCATAAAAATGTAAGTCACAGTGACTTTCATGGCTTTGCTGTAAACATGACTAAGTTCAGGGTCACACCCAATGTCTTTCCCTAAACTGGCATTTATATTATTTTTGACCAGTATTTGCCATATGTAATACTCTTATTTGTCATAGGAGAGGGCATATTTAAAAACATAAGAAGCTGTTTATATTGTTATTATTGTTTTGTTACCATTACTGTTATTTCCATTATCACTCTGAAATACCATGTATATTGACAGATATGCAAGAATCCACACATAAATAAATATAATATGCAAGAAGATATGCAGGGATGGGGAAGTAGAGAAATCCCTGGGACAGTCCAGATGATCTGATCAGCTGAGGAGCACCTCTCCTTGCCTGATGTACCAATCCCAAGCCCTCCCATATATCTCTTTCCCATGGAGAGAGAGTAGAGTTCAATGCTTCCTTCTGCAGAGACTTTTTTCTCCTTCCCGTCTAGTCTTCCTCCAATCTGCATGGAGGAAGCCAGCAGGATTAAAAGATATCTTGAACTGGAGACATCCGAAGCTTGCTTTGTTCAGAATGGAGCATGGAACTGCAGAGATCTCTTTGCACAGAAAATGAGTAGGAAACTGACATCTTGGAGCGGCCAGACTTGAAGGATGATGTGGAGACTTAAAAGTATATGCTAAAGGGCATTAGCAATACATGGAGTGTAAAGTTATTTCAGTTTAGGTCCAAATCTGAGGGAACATGTTATAGCAACACACCTACAATTTGTGATGGGACCTGACTGTTTGTGGCCAATTTCTGATGGGATCAGGCAGGAAGGTCGTCAGAAGAAATGTTCCTTGTGGTTCCAAATGTATCCGGGATCCGCTTGGGGGCCACCAGAAGTCCAGTCCAGCAATTCAATCTTTAGGCATCCGTACCAGTCCTATGGAATGCCTTTCTGACTCAGATGGGGAACACAACTACCCCATTTTCAATCTTTACAGAATACCTTTCTCCCCAAACAGGGATTTCCAGGCTGGTTTCAGCCATGTATTTGTTTTTATTGTAATCAGTTTTGCATTTGATGGTTTTAAATTATTACACTCCATTCTAAAATCTTTCATGTGGAGCCATTTTATAAATAAAATATACACAGCTGAGAGCTCGCATATCTGTGTTAACCATTTTATATGCAGTGCTCATTGTGTATTTGTGTATCTGATGAAGGAAATCTACATCATGTACATTGATAAAGCACAGAATTTAAATCTTACCCAATAGGTCTTGAAACAATAATTTCAACTTGAGGTTCTGATTTTGATTCTAAAATAATGTTGTAAACTTCTTCATTTGTAGCTCCAGGAAGTGGTTTACCATTCCATTCAAGAACTTCATCACCTTGAATTAAAAAAATAAAGGAGGATTTCTTTCTTGTCTTTCACATTTACAACTTACTACTTTTCAAATACAAATTATTATTTTCTTTCCTGTTCTTTTATTACTTTGGAAGAGAATCTGTTAAGCTAGGCGATACACTTCACACATTTTTATGAAGCTTTTCAAGTGATGAAAGACGTTTGTTTTTCATAGCACATAACATTATTCACTGATACATCTTGCATTCAGTGTACTTTGTTTGTGATTGGTCACTGGAAAGTACACATGTGCTTAATTTGCAAGCCTGATAAGCTAGGAATAGAGATGCTTATGAATCAATGAACTGGTGCATCGTGCCCACCTCTAGTGAGGAATATATTTTTGAGGAAATCCCACTGTAGGAGGATAAACAGGTTAACTGTAGGGAATGTACATTCTAATTAGAACATGCTTCTAATTTGATCATCAGTTAAAATGATCTTTGCATGCTCCCCACCAAGGCAGAAAAGCACCTACTTGTCCAGCTAGCAGAACTAGAATCACACCATCTGCACATCAAAACTCCTGCTTCAAGACATTTCGATGCATGATGGGCCTGCTCCAGAAACCCACATCTCTGTGTATGGATCCATTGCACAAGCTGGCTACTATTTTACTATTCTGATGTAAAAGTTCAGGGCACCTCATTTTGCCTATGATGTCATCTGTTAATATCCTAAACATAACAAACACTTCAGGTAGAACTAAACTCCACTGGTTATTATTGAACCAATGAGAGATTTACAGAGCCCCAGATTTTTTTTTGTTTCCTTTCATTCTTTTATAACTTTGTAAGTATACAAATGGTCATTGGCTTCCAAATACCAGTTTCTCTCTGTCTTACAATACAAAGGGGAACCCCGACAATTCCATAGTTCCGATTAGCGCCCAATCTCCCAAAACATTGCTACAAGGCCTTCTCTTGTACATACAGATGGGACATTCACAGATTTCTACATTCATTTCAATAGAAAACTCCAGCAAACACCCATAAGAAGTTGCTGCCTCTTTTAAAGTTCATTAGAAACTGCTTCTCAGTTGGGTGGATTCATTTACGATGAAGGTGTAACTTTTCACTGCTTACTAATTTCTTATTTCTTAATTATTTCCTAATAATTTGTCAGTAACTAATTACCATTTGTTATTAATGCCAATATTCAAATATATGACACTCTTTTTGATTCTTTATATGCCACTTCTGTTTAGTTTTTTTATTATTATTATTCCTTTTATAACATATATAAATAGCTGCTTCTTAGGTCAACCTACAGAAGTCCTATTAAGAAACCACATGGAGCCCACATACATTGAAAGGAGGAATGCTAGCCCTATCCCAATTTGTTTCCATCAAAACATAAAAACATGACTTTCTGAAGAGGAAGAGACTACCATACCTGGGTAGGGGTGGGGCTGCCACTCTCCCTTCAATACCTGTGGGCTCCATATGCTTCATTAATGTCTGAATAGGGCTACAGCAATACATTCAAGCCCTTTTCAAACCAACATATGAGTTGGAGATTACAAGGCATCTCTGCCATGTACATGACATGTTTTTGTTCAGTAGTGGCCTGAATCCAAACAATAGTCCCAACCAATGTAGGCTTATTGAATCAATGGGATTAAGAAGGTCTTGATTCACTATTCAGCAATGGGTACACTCTAACAGGGACAACCAGTTGGATTTAGGCTAATATGTTTACTAAGTAGTCTTCCAAGCAACAGGTTGATGAGTAAGAATGTGGAAAGTTTCTCTTAATGTAGATGGGCAGTCCTAACTGCCCATCTACATTAAGAGAAACGTTTAAGGGGAAAATATAGCTTTTTCCATGAACTCTGGGGTTTTCCTAAGGACAAGTTTTATAGGGTTTCATGTGGTATTTAGAAATACTGGAAAAACCATAACTTTGACTACGCGGACCTTAGTCAGCAAGGTGATGCCTCTGCTTTTTAAGATGCTGTCTAGGTTTGTCATTGCTTTCCTCCCAAGAAGCAGGCATCTTTTAATTTTGTGGCTGCTGTCACCATCTGCAGTGATCATGAAGCCCAAGAAAGTAAAATCTGTCACCGCCTCCATATCTTCCCCTTCTATTTGCCAGGAGGTGGTGGGACCAGTGGCCATGAACTTAGTTTTTTGGGAAGGGGCTGTTGAGCTTCAGACCATGTTTTGCGCTCTCCTCTTTCACCCTCATTAAGAGGTTCTTTAATTCCTCCTCACTTTCTGCCTTCAGAGTGATATCATCTGTGGGAAATCTTCCAGAAATCTTAATTTGGGCTTGGGATTCATCCAGTCCTGCCTTTCGCATAATATATTCTGTATATAAGTTAAATAAACAGGGGGACAATATATAGCCTTGTCATACTCCTTTCCCAATTTTGAACCAATCAGTTGTTCCATATCCAGTTCTATCTGTTGCTTCCTGTCCCACATATAGATTTCTCAGGAGATAGATAAGGTGGTCAGGCACTCCCATTTCTTTAAGAACTTGCCATAGTTTGTTGTGGTTG